GGGCTGAGATGGGAAAACGTATCCGAAGAAAGACTACAAGATGTTCAATTAAAATGCTCCCTACACTGGAATCGAACTCGGATTTTCTGAGTGCAAATTGCGAAGCTCAGAACCACCACCGCTACAGACGTTAGGGTTATGTTTGTTGTTGCCGGTGGTGGTGGTGGTGGTAGTGGTAGTTGTAGTGATGTTGTTATTGTTGGTGGTGGTAGTGTTGTTGTTGTTGTTGTGTGCGTGTGTGTGTGTGTGTGTGTGTGTGTGTGTGTGTGAGAGAGAGAGAGAGATAGAGAGAGAGAGAGAGAGAGAGAGAGAGAGAGAGAGAGAGAGAGAGAGAGAGTGAGAGAGTGAGAAAGAGGGTGAGCCTATCCTTCCGCATTATTTGGAGCCCCGAAAAGCGTGCCTCTCTTAAGTAGCGGGTGAGGCAGTCCGATCTCCCTGAGTCTCCTCCAAAGAGATGTCACCACCAGATGTTGTTATTGTTGCTGTTGTTGTTGGTGGTGGTGGTGGTGGTCGGGATGGTGGTATGGTAGTAAGACTTCATATTTCGTTTCGTAAATAATGATTTTGTTCAAGTTTAAGTGCAAATTTGGACATTTAGAAGACAGAAGGATGCAGCAGACAGATCGAGAAACTCGAAAAGAAATTCACCCCGATGGGATCGAACTCAGGTTTTCTGTATGCGACTTTGAAACGCGTAACCGCTACGCCACAGACGCCAGTCTAGATCATTCCAATATTGTCATTATCGTGAAAGGGAAGGAAAGGGAAGAACCATCATCAGATGCAGAATGTAGATCCATGATGTTGAATGTAATCAGAAATCAGTGGCGTGAGACATTGCGGTATATGTGATGAATGTGTGTGTGTGTGTGTGTGTGTGTGTGTGTGTGTGTGTGTGTGTGTGTGTAAGCGTGTATGTATGTGTGTGTGTGTAAGCGTGTGTGTGTGTGTGTGAGAGAGAGAGAGAGAGAGAAAGAGAGAGAGAGAGACAAAAAGAGAGGGGGGATGAAGAGAGAGTATAGAGAATGATAGTGAGTGTTTGTATGTGTATGTGTGTGGGGTTTTTTATGAGAGGGGGGTTGGGTGAGGGGGTGGGGTGATTAGCTCGTGCCCAGGGAATCGTTGGCTGTCCTTTCATCGTCCGAGCGACGACATCGATGCCTTATGGAGCGGACATGGAGCTCCAATGTCATCAGATTCACAGAACAACACACAGAATGTACGGGAAAGATAGATGGTGTTGGGAATTTCCTCAAGAGGCTTCGGTTGGCTTTATCTACTTTTGTTTAGTCTGCCTAGTATGGCGATCAGCTTTTTTTATAATAAGACTTGTTTTAGAGAAGCTTCTCTGCAATCCTGACAATTATGGCTTCAAGATACCCATTCTGTGGATACATTAAAATTGCTCCTATACACCCGAAACATGGTGAATATTCACATTCCTGAAAGAAAGATAATATTTTACTATTTGACTTTCATTTTGAACTCCAAGAGTGTTTTTGATTACTTTGAATTTTGCTGGAATATATTACATTCAAAATTAGAAGTATTAACAGCTACCTACCCGTAAAAGGATACTACATATCTTTGTTCTCTCTGTCTTTCTTTGTTCCCAGTTATACAATTTTCCCCTCTGTAATGTGGGTGGCTTGCGGGTGCTCTAGTGTGGTTTATTCTTTCCTTTCCTGTCAAACATCTATCGTCCTTCTCTCTCCTCTTCCTTTTTGTGTTCATTGCTCTCTTGTAACACCTCTAATTTTGCTCTTATGTGACCTTATTGTGTTGCAAGTGCCGTAAAACTTTTACTGAAACTAAAACTGTTCCCCCTATCGTTTGTTAGTGCTCTGTGATTAACAGTGTTGACCGGCGGAATCGGAATCCTGTGTGGGTCATTCCGGGGCGAGAGGGGGGTCAATCCGGAGTGGTAGCTGATGTCCAGTGTAGCGTGAGTCACATCAGATCTGATGGTTTGACCACATCTCTCACTGAGGGCGAAACTGGCCCATCGTGATGGATTGGGGGTCAGATGACCGGATGACGTGCATCAAGTCTGCTTGCCTGGATGTTATCGGCTGGTTCAGATTTTTTTCTAAAGAGGTTGTGTGTGTGTGTGTGTGTGTGTGTGTGTGTGAGTGTGTGTGTGTGTGTGTGTGTGTGTGTGTGTGTGTGTGTGTGTTTCAATGTGTATTTTTGTGTATATTTGTGTGTTTGCCTGTGTGTCTCTGTGTGTTTGAATGTATGTATGAATGTGTGTGTGTGCTTTGAGACACTTTGAAAAGAAGAAGAAGAATCTACTTTATGCGCGAGTGCTAACAAAACGACGGAATATTTGTCCAAGGTATTAATGTCTGATATCTTGCAAAAAACAATTACTGAACTTGGCACCCCACGACTGGTGTTATGTAATACACTGTGGGCTTATATTAGGTGGTTATTCTCCCACTCTTTCTCTATTTCTTTTTTTATTCTCTTCATATCTAACTGTCATTCTCTCTCTCTC